TGAGTCCAATTTGATTTGGCCACCACTGTCTTGCTGTTCCCACTTCCTTCCTCTGGCTGTAATTACCTAAATTTTAGGCACGAAAACTTTCCAGTGGTGGAGACACTCCATTTATTTATTCCTAAGATGATCTTTTCAAACTTATATTGTCCCAAATAGCTATCAAAAGTTAGACTTTGGCCAGGTGCAGTGGCTCACACCTATAACCCCAGCACTTTGGGAGGCCAGGGCAGGAGGATTGCTTGAGACTAGGAGTTCAAGACCAGCCTGGGCAACAAAGCGAGATCTTGTCTCTGCAAAAAAAAAACAAAACTAAAAACATAAAATAATAAAGTTAATCTTTGTCTTTCCTTGGAATGAAACCTAGACTAGATTGTCTCTTTTGTCTTGCTTCCGTATTTGGTTATCAAAGAGTACCAGAAAATTTTTTTAAAAAGTTATTTTGGATGTTTCTGATATAGCCAGGGGGTATATGACCAAAAGTCCCCTAAAGACTTCAGACAAGTATAGAAGTTGTAGTGGGCAATGCATCTTCAGAAACATGTCACTGTAAGGGGTTGGAGTTTATGTTGATTTTGTTTTTTTGTTTGTAGGCACTTGAGATGAGAAGTTTCCATGATCTGATGTGAAATATAGCAGTTATATCTTAAATTTATTCCCTGTCCTTTTTTTGTCCCCTTTTAATGGGTTTATACAAATGAAATATTTCCTGTTCTGCTTCTGTAGATACCTATCGAGACCTTGTTTGCTATTTATTTGGACAGAGTTAGATGCACAAGTAGTAGTTTTTTTTTCTTTAAAGTTGATGCCTCATTTATGGTTACATCATAAGCTGTGAGTAAACTCTGTCTCCTTGAAAAGAACAATTTGTATCCATTTACTTTCTGCAAAACATAAGCAGTAGTTAACAAGAATTCAGATTGCTATGGGAATGATTTTAATGTGGTTTCATAATTTGTTATAATGCAGAGGAGACATGTGAGAAGGTTATTATTGCAAGGAGCAATTCCTCAGGAAGGCACAGCACACTGGCCCTAAGCCAGTAGGGGCCATGGTGGTTTTCTTTAGAACCCCAGGCTTGCACAGTCTTCACCACTGATCCCTCTCCTGGCACTTTGGTTTCTGTGCCTGGTGCCCCGAAAGAGAGACAAGGGTAGAGTAGCTCCCGTGCTGGGGGAGCACGAGGGCACTCTTCTCTCAACAGCGCAAGGGCAGCACTGACTATGATAGCCTGGTAGCCAAAAGCAAATGCAGAGTTGGAAGAAACCAGCTGTCACTCAATCCAACGCTGTTAGTGTTTTACATGAGAGAAAAGTGAAATGACGCATGACTAGCTGGGAGCAGAGCCAGAGCTTATGCATACTCTAATTCATAGTCCAGTATTGTGTATATTCATTAATTTATTCATTTATTCATGCTTTAGTCAAGTGCCCATTATATGCCATGGAATTTGCTGGACAATCAGTGGGGATACAAATACGAATGAAACACATGGTCTTTGCACCCAGGAGCTCATGATGTAGGATGAGAAAATCATAGGAAGAAAAATGGGCCATGTAGTATACGAAGTACTGCCATAGAGGTCTGTATGAGGGTTAATCACGGCACAAATAAGGACACAGTCTACTCCTGTGGGGAGGATAGGTGAAGGCCAGCTTCACAGACTGCGGGTTGCTTATGCTCTGCACAGAGGATGCTACGTGGTAGAGGGTGGAGAGAAGGGTATTTCCTTATGACATAGAGGAGAAGAGAGAAGGATATTCCCATCAAGTGAGAGCAGTATCTGCAAGGGTGTGGTTTGCTACTCTGGAGAGATGCTGCACAAATCAAGTTTGGAAAATTCTACATACTGTGTTCCTGGCATTGAGATTATCCAACATTCTTTAATGCTACACAAATCAAGTTTGGAAAATTCTGCATACTGTGTTCCTGGCATTGAAATTATCCAAGATTTTTCTACTTATTAGTGCATGAACCATTTGTATGTGTGTGTATATATAATATGCCTTAACGACCTCTGAAACACCTGTGGAAAAGCCACTTTCAGCCTTCCTTCACAATGTCACTCTCCTGTCCCTTGGTTTCCATTCCTGTGAAACCCCCCTTGTCCAAGCCCTTGTGGTACCCCTGGACTTTTACAATACCCACCGAAATGCTTTTCCCTCTCAAATACGAAACACCACAAAGCAGATTAGTATTTCTAAAACTTTAACAAGGCTTACCTTTTATTTATTGATTTCCCTTAGGTAATACATTCACCTGCTACAGACATTTAAAAAAGTATAATAAAAAAGGATATATGGTAAAAAGTTACTCTCTTACCTTTATTCTCTAGTCTGCCAGCTGACTCCATTGGCAACCACCGTTATTAGTTTCTTATATATCCTGCCAAAGAGATTTTGTGAATTTACAAATTAGAATTTCCGTTTTCTCCCTTTTATACATAAATAGGAGTATACAATAAAAACTATTCTTTCTTTGCTTTTTTCACGTAGCAGTACATCTTGGAGATCTTTCCGTATCACTTCAAAAAGAACTTTTTCATTATTTGTTTGGCTGTGATATATTCCACTCTATGGAGGTACCATAGTTTATTCAACCAGTTTTTAGGTGATGGACATTTATGTTCCCAGCCTCTACTATTGCAAACAGCATCCCAATTGGTGGTGATACTTCTTTGTACATATGATATGATGCATCTTGAAAAGCAGTCTGACTGCTAAGTGCTTACAGAACAAAGTACTTTGTGTTAGCATTCAAAGCTTTCTTCAGTAAGGCCCCAGATAAACTTTCTAATCACACTATTTTTATGTGTCAAAATGAACTTTCTGCTTTGCCCAGTGGTAAAATTCAAGATCATTTCCAAATACCTCTTTAATTCTGTCTTCAATATGTCCCCAAATGAACTGTCTTCTTTAGCTCCCTGTGACAACATTTGTTGTTCCTTAAATGGGCCTTTGCTTTTCCTAGCTCTCCAGCCTGGATCCCCACCTCCTGGCTCTGCCTTTGGAAGTTGTGTCTGTCCTTCACAGCTCAGCTTGAGTCCCACGTTCTCTTCCCAGACTTCCTCAATCTGCAGGATCGTCTTGCTCTGAGAAACCACAGCCCTTGCTGTCTGTATCACTCTTTTTACTTATAGCAGGCGTGTGCATACATACACACGCATCCTTATATAATGTTTCTTGTAAAATATGCATATGTCCTTTTTTTATTCAGCAAGATTGTGAGGTATTGAAACATATCTTTTAGTGTTTTATTTTTATTTTTTAGAGACATGGTCTTTTGCCCAGGCTTGAGTGCAGTGACACAATCATAGCTACTGTAACCTCAAACTCCTGGGCTCAAGCCATCTTCCTGCCTCAGCCTCCTGAGTAGTTGGGACTACAGGTGCTCACCACTACACCAGGCTATTTTTTAAAATTATTTTTGGTAGAGATGAGGTCTCGCTATGTTTCTCAGGCTGGTCTCTGGCTCCTGGCCTCAAGCAACCCTCCAGCTCAGCCTCCCAAAGTGTTGGGATTACAGGCGTGAGCCACCTCACCTGGCATTTTTATATTTTATGTATGTCTTTATGCCTCTCAAAACTACCCAGCACAATTCCTTCCTCTATCAATTTTTGTTTTCTTGGCCAGGCGTGGTGGCTCACGCCTGTAATGCTAGCACTCTGGGAGACATAGGTGGGAGGATCACTTGAGGTCAGGAGTTCGAGACAGCCTGAGCAAGAGTGAGACTCTGTCTCTACTAAAAATAGAAAGAAATTAGCTGGACAACTAAAAACACATAAAAAAAAATTAGCTGGGCATGGTGGCACATGCCTATAGTCTCAGCTACTCGGGAGGCTGAGGCAGAAGACTTGTTTGAGCCCAGGGGTTTGAGGTTGCTGTGAGCTAGGCTGACGCCATGGCACTATAGCCCGGGCAACAGAGCGAGACTCTGTCTGAAAAAGAAAAAAAAAAAAAAATTTGTTTTCTCATCTGCTGTCCTTAAACATTCAAAAATCTTACGTGCTGCTCTACGCCAAAGCCCTCGTTGGTTCCTCTTTGTCCCTGTGTGATTTAGCATCCTGGTCTCAGGCTGAAGGATGGTGGCCAGTCCACTGGGCCTTATGTAGCCGCTCTCTCACCTCGCCAGATCAGGTTCCTCTCCTTGGCCAGATGGACTCACCCTTGAGGCTCCACAAATGCCTTGCGTCTCCTGTTGCCGTGACAACATACATGCCATCTTTTCCAGTACATCATCCCATTTTCTCTTTTCTAACTCATGATTGCCCAGCCTTGATAAAACCTGTATACCAGGGGCTTTTCCAGATCATCTCCCCAGTGTCTCTAGTCATTTAACGTCTAGCAATGATAATGATGATAGCCGGCCTATACTGAGAGCTCTTTATGTGCCAGATGCTGTATAGCTATGTTATTTGCATGATCTCACTCCATGCTCACAACCAAGAGGACAGGGACACTCCCCGCATGGTGTATTTATCCCATTCCGGTTCTTATTGAAACATACATCGATTATATTCATTACTATTTATTGTCACATGTCCTAATCATCTCTTCGTGTAGATTTGCCAGTGGCCAATGTCCTTTGTTTCTAGCTGTCCAGAATGTAGCAGGCTGCTAGTTCCCCTCCCAGGGCGACAGTGAGGTTGTACTTAGGGAAAGCAAACTTGTTGTAACCTCTTCCTAAAGAGATCGTGGCTGATCAGGTCATTCTGCACATACTATTCTTCAGAAATGATATTTAGGTTATTCAGTTTGAGGATTTTACATGTTTGTGCTGTTTTCCTTAAACCCCAGATAATAAATACTTTTGTGTTCTCCTGTCTCCTCCATCAGACTGTAAACTTCTGAGATGTAGGAACTTAATGTACACTTCCTGAAATTTCTAATTGCTAATGTAATTGTTAATACAGATTTTCCTGTATAGCACAGTTCAATAAAGGTCATTAAATTAATTGATTTTTGTATTAATTGCTGGCACTTTTTTCTCTTGTTTTTCAGGAAATCATTTGCCAGAAGAATACTGTGAGTATTTTACTTAATCTTCCAGAAATTGTTTATCTTTTCTCTTCCATCAGCTAATCTGTGGTATTTTTTAAATCTCTACAAATTGTTAATTTCTATCTCTGTCATTCCTCTTTAGAGTTTCTGATGTATCAATGTAAATATGGTTGTCTTATCTAAATACTCCATTGTAGTAAAACTTTAGTTAGAGATGACATTAACACCTGGGTTTTCTATATATGTTTTGGAAAAAAATTTTCTATAGTATGTTTAATGTGGAATTATAAGTGGCACTAAAGCAGCATATAGATACACAGATACACACACATATGTGTATATATGTATACAGTGTATGTAAATTTGAATATATATGTACAGAGAGATAGATATATGTATGTAGGTATGTGTCTACCATCTATCTTCTATTTAGAGATTGATTTAAATTTCTAAGTATTGTAGTCTTCCTTTGACTACAATACACTACAGAATTCCTACCCTCCACACAGAGTTAAACAAATGTGAAAGAGGGAGAAAAATAAATTCTAGATTTTAAGAACTGCCACATGAAGAAAAATTATACAGTGGAAACAGCCTTGTTAAGCCAATGGTTGTGTATTTCATTTTGGAAAGTAAGCCAGTATTTAAAAAACCTTGAAGAATGTACTTCTGCAATTTAGAGTGAAGATAATACACTCCATAAAGTGTGCACATGGTTCAAGACGAGAGGATTAACAGTACAATTGGTAGTTTTTCCTTGGATCAGATATTTAAAAACTTAAATGCTTAAGATTTCACCAGGACAGAGACTCATTGCAGCATAAATAATGTTGCCATTATAAACGCTTATCCTTCCCATCTCAACAGGAAATGAGCAATCATTGCTTCATGCTTCCATTCACTGTTTTTTTAAAACACTATTTAATTTGTTAAAGGTGTTAAACTGTTTAATTTGTGTAACAAATTTTATAAAACAAATATTGATTGAGCATGTCCTGTGTGCCAGGCTTTGGGTTGGTGCCACAGGGTTCTAGCCATGGAGGTTGGAAGTGGAAAGAACCATATTTATAACTGTTGCATAGACCACAAATGAGAAGTGGCAGAGTGTAGTTGGGAGAAGGTCAGTGAACAAACAAGCAAACAAATAAATTAGGGAATTAACGTAGGTGACATGCTAAAGAGTGGGGTGGGGGCGGGCATTATGTCGAGGTCCTTCAGAGGAGGTAGCATTACCTGAGACCTGGTGGCAGGAAGAAGCAGCCAATCCTGCCCAGCCCAGCTTGGACGTGGAGAGAAGCAGGTTGATACAAGGACCCAATATTACACATTACAAATAAGTTGCCCCCTGACTTGAGAAAGCTGCTGTGTTTCGGGTGCTGGACGTCCTGATAAAAAGTTGACTATTTTGAACATCTTTTTCAATATACTTGAATGCCGAGAGTTTTTCTTTCTAGAAGCTGAATTCGTTTTCCACACACACTTATGGTTACCTTTATATAGTTTTTTAAAAATTGAAAAACAGAATTGGCATTATTTTTTTAAACAGTGAAAATAGTTAGAATAAGACTAGATTTTGGGCTGCAAGATTTTATAGCCATGAAAAAAAGCGTGGGCCCAAGAGATCAGCATTGTTATTTTATGAGCACACCGTACTGTTCTGAAATGTAAGGAAATGTGGTTTTTGAAGCAGGTGTAAATATTTTAGAATTAGTACCTTATTAATAAAAGGCAGTTGCACTTGGAGGTTTCTGTTCTTGATCACACAGTGGTGGTTTTATTTACTTTGGATTATCAGCTATTTCGCACTATGGGTTT